TCCGAATGGAGGGGAACCGGATTCCAAAAGCAGCTTCTGCACTATCGGCTGAATGCCGAGTAACCGCGACTTGGCGAACAAGCTTTCACGTCCAAGAAGTGATCGAAATTATGGAAGCTGTGCACGTGTATCTCGTGAAATGAGAAAAGACGAGCCGCTGGTTTGTCCTGTTCAGCTGTCTCCACATGGTTTAACAATTGTGGACCACCAGTTGGACGTGCTGGTGACCTTGAAACCGCTATCTCCTGCCCGACATCATTCCCTCTTTCCGTTGGTTGCATACGCCGCTCAACACAAACCGTATTTCAGGCTCAATCGACAAATCCGGAAATATGCATGTCAGCCTACCCCAATACTGTTGATCGGTTACCAGAAAATAAGGGACAAAATCCAACCCTTTTATCGGGAATTGTTGAGTTCGACTCCCTCGGGAATTCTGAAATGATCCAGTTCCGAATTTGTGAAACAAGTATACATCGTTTTTTATCTTTGCGATCCTGGTGATAATGAAAATTTCCCTACTACTGTATTTCTCACTGGGCAGGATAAGTTGAGGTTGGTGAAATCCCACTTTCATCATATTTTGTCCTAATACCAGTGGGATAAAACACACGTCATAACTTCCACTTTTCTTAAAAATAATCGTTAAAAAGTCGAACTAAGTAACTCTAGCGTTGTGGCATTGATGATGTTTCATATCAAATCTGTGGACCGACTTTTTTCCTGAATAAGAGAGTCCGTAAATTTTTCTATACAACTCTTCTTCATAGAACTATTAATAATGCGTTTTGCAACATTTACTTGGCCACGTCACTTTCTGAACGTCACGTGATTAAACTGATATCGTTCACAGCACTTGACTCGTAGCACCCAGACCATCGCGACTAAGTTCTTTAATGTGCTTTAACATATCCAGGTTCGGCTGGCCCACTGGCATATTTGTGTTTGAAGTACTTTCCACCCGTTCGTACACCTTTCGTACACCCGTTCGTCAAGGTCACAACAACACAGAAAATAAGCTGTACTGCAAGAACGATGAGGCTGTTGTCGCGATAAAACGCACTGATCTAGGTGGCCGGAGGTATTAAGACTACCACTGTGGGAAATAATGTGACAGGCGACTCGGTGGAAAACGATTGGCAGAACACCTCAAGTAGAGAAAATCGGGGGTATCGAGTGGCTTCTTAATGGAAATAAACTATATATACATAAGAATCCATGACGATGAATAGTTTCGCACAGTTCTTTGATATATTCTCTCCCCTGGACGTGATTTCGGGTTATCAGTAGAGCTTAGCACCCAAACACAGGCTTATCATTCATATTCCTGGACTCAACAACTGCAAAACAACCCTAAACTCGGAATTAGCTGGGGATGTTGATTCTAGCTCTACATCTAACCCAAAGTCATTGTGTTTGTGTGTAGCCGCTCCACTTCAGAGTTACATGTAACTCAGTGACATCTGTGTTGCGAGTGAAGGGGACGAGCTTCGGTATTTATTTTCATGAGAATAGGCTTTGTGAGGACATCGTGGATGGGAAATGGTAGTAACGAACCATATGGGAGTGCTTGTCAATCATAGGGACAGATGGTTCACATAAAACATGCTTTGTGAAATCCAATCGTTCATCTGGGTCATGAGAATTTCGCACTTCTAGGCTAACGACGTTGCCCAATGTGCCTTCCTCTAGTCAACGAAACGTCAGTGTTGAACACTGATGTCACGCTGTCGATGGCGATTATGATTATTTCCCTGGTCAACAAACTACGATCATCTAGATGAATTTGCTTCAAATTCCAACCATGCTTAATTCTTGCTTCCATTTTGTCCTAGCGCTGTCCATAAATTTCAGGTGTTCTGTTGCCATAACCCGACTCAGTTTGACGTGATGAGGTGTTCCAATAAAACAGATTTACGTGGAGATACAGTTTAGTTACATCGATGCACGCAAATCACTCCACTCGCAAGGAGGCATCTATATGTATGATGTAACAGACATCTCCGAAACATTACACCGGCCCACATCTAGACAAATAAACTCAAACAATCAATAACGGTTACAAGCACGGATCCTGTTCAACAGAAACAACACAGACTATCAGCAGGCGGTCAGGTGATCAAAATCCTTATCTCATTTTCACTGAGTCACCTAAAACTGCAGTAAATAAAATGATGAGATAAACAAAAGCGATCCTAAACTAGTGCCAGAGATGAGAAAGGCATATTGGATGACTGACTGTTTCCTGAGA